GCTCAACCCATATCGTTGATGGCCCACCTAAAAACATTCTGATTAAAGGCCCCACAGCCGAGATGATAAGGTCAAATTTCAGATCTACAGAAACACCAGATGTGCCCCACCTAGCATTGTTAGTAGAACCCACGTCAGTGGCCCAATGGCACCCCAGCACGACACATAATCCCAAACAATCACATCACGACAAACCCCACACCCCTTTTAAAGCCATTCCCCTTCCTGTGGGGTCGACGGTCCATCCCCACATTCCCACCTTCCTCCGCTCTTTCCCCCAAACCCTAAATTCCCTCCGCCTTTGAACGGTTGTTAAACCCTAATCTCTCTCCGCCACGTCCATGGCCTCCGAAATGGCTCTCTACAACTTCTCTTCGCCGGACCAAAGCAACCAGAAAGCTAACCCTTCCTCCAAGTCTCATCTTCCTCTCTCTCGAAAATCGACTTCTGCTCTCTCCAAAGACCGCCACACCAAGGTAAACGGCCGGGGCCGTCGGGTTAGGATGCCGGCTCTTTGTGCTGCCAGGATCTTCCAATTGACTCGAGAACTTGGCCATCGCTCTGACGGCGAGACCATCGAGTGGTTGCTCCGCCAGGCCGAGCCTTCCATCATCGCTGCTACTGGGTCAGGCACTGTCCCAGCCACTCACGATGTGTCGTCTTCGGCGGGTTCGACCTCCAGCTTCTTAACTTCGTCCGAGCCATGCCGGGTGCATCCGATGAGCGGTGTTGCTACTTCAGCTATGCCTGTGTTTGCGATGCCGCCTCAGCCAAGCTGTCGTCTGGACCTGTGCCAGCCGATCACCTTGCAGTATCCTGGTGAAGCAGGAAATGGGTATCGGCACATGCCGTTTACGGCTTTATTATTGCAGCCTACTGTCGGAGCGTCGAGGGAAGATCAAGAGAGGAGGCAGCAGGAACGGGAAACTAGAGAATAAAAATCATGAATAGTATAAATATGTGAATGGAGAAATGAAATGGCTTTTTATTTTACATGTTGAAATCTGCTTTCTTTTCTTTTTTTAACTATTGACTTCTTTGGGAAAAGGGATTTTTTTTTTTTTTAAGATATTTGGGAAAAGGGAATGCGAAGGCTTCAGACTGTAATAGTAGAATATAAATTAAGAGAATAACCCAATTTATAACTCAATATATTTCAAATTAAAATACATTTTTTATAATTTTATTACATGACAACTTTCTGTTAAAAGAAAAAAATAAAAGGAAAAAAAAAAAACTTTGCGCCCCTCATTGAAAGTTCTCATTTTTCATAAACAAATTTGTAGCTTAGCTGCAAGTATCCTATAGCCCCGATCAGACAGAAAGCAAAAAAAAAAAAAGACAATGTGACGCTGAATCTGTTGAAAGCTTGAAACCTTAAGCCATGAAACATGTCCATTTCTGAGAAAACCAACCACCTTCACCACTTTATGAAATCCAGAATCTTCTTCTTATTCTTCATTTCATTGTTGTTTGAGTTTGAGGTTTCCATTGATGGCAAGCTCTTCAATGGCAGTTCAGAACTTCCGGATGCAGGTGATGCCTCCACAATCTGGTTCACCATTTCCAACACCTCACTCATTTTTGGGCGTTTTTTTGGGTTTTTGACCAAGCACTGGTTGGCCAAGGTACCAAGCCTCTGGGCTGACTTGAGGGGGTATTTCCCTTCAAGTCTTGGGTCCAGTATTTGATGGAATTTCTTCGAATCTGATACGTATGGCTTTATCCATTCCAAGAGTTTCTGCTCACTTTTGGGGCGGTTTCGATCTAAAGGGCGCCTACCTGTGATGAGTTCAAAAAGAAAGACACCATAGCTCCATACATCACTCTTGGATCTGAGACGTCCTGTTCCAACATATTCAGGAGCTGCATATCCCATTGTTCCAACAACCTGTTGAAGACCACCACACCAGAAGTGTGAAGATGTATAACAATAAAGAAATAATCCTATAACATGACACCGAGTTTTTAAAGTTTTAACAGCAAAAGTTACTAGGAAACCCCCCAACAAAGGCATTCTCATTTTAATGATATTAACACATTCAGTTTTCATGAAATAATTAAGATTTAAGAGACATCACAGTGTTTGAAGCAGTCCTCTTGTTTTCCATATCTTCTGAAGGCAGAATCCAGCATTTGCGTTTGAAGCAGACATCACAGAGTAATTATGCTGAAATGCATCCCTCATTAAATGGAACTTAAAAGTTTGAAGAAAAAGCAGATCTCCAGAAAACTGATACTTTCATGTCAAAACATGTAAAGAAAAGCAAATAAATGTGTTGAAAGCCATTAGAAAATCAATTTTGGTATTTCAGTCAAAAGAATTGGACTATTTGTGTGGTATTTCAAAATGACCATCTATCTACATATGATGTGCATTTTCCACATCCATGAAAGCTTGCTTTCAATTAAAATACAAAACCTGAGAGCCAACTAAGGGATAGATATCAAGTAACAGAAATGATCATTTTCTCTGAGCTTACCGCAGTTGAGACATGAGTTAATCCTTCTGAAGGGCCCAATCTAGCCAATCCAAAGTCTGATAGCTTTGCATTCCATTGTTCATCCAGAAGGATATTAGAAGACTTGAAATCCCTGAAGATGATCTACAATAAACATAATAGGAAAAGATTAAATTGGCATCATTTAAGATATCCTGATCTAAGGGATGGTAGTTGAATAAACAGTTAGCAATAGCAAACTCATTCTCTTTCTCTGCTCAGAAGGGGATTCAAATGGGAAAATGGAAATGAAGCAGGGAAGCTTCAAGTGCCAGCTTGTCAATTTGGAAATTTCCAACTGCACTGGAAAATCATTATGGTATGCTGAAACCAAAAGTGATAAGAATTATACCTGAAAATCCATTTTTTCATGTAGGTGCATTAAGCCGCGAGCAGCATCTTGGGCTATTCTCAGTCTCATTGTCCACGAAAGAGTAGTCTCAGACCGAGCAGATAAATGGCTTTCCACGCTTCCATTAGGCATGTATTCATATACCAAAAGCCGTTGCATTCCTCTTTCATCATCATCGGCACAATAGCCAACTAGTTTTACAAGGTTTTGATGCTCAACCACACCAAGAACATTAACTTCTGTCACCCACTGCTTGTGCCCCTGTCACATGTCAACCATCCTAATTTTAGAAAAGATAGAATCTTTTTGTCTTAGTGTTTGTTAATATAAAAATTAGTAAAGGAAAAAGAAGGAAGGAGGAGGAAAGGGAAGAAAGGAGAAGTGAAAGAAAGAAAATAATTGATGATAATTTTGTTTGGATCTATAAAACTAAAGAAAAAAGAAAGATAATATTTTTATTTAATTAAATAATTTTTAAAAAATAAAATAAAATATTTACAATTCATTAATTAAAAAAATTGATATAAAATATATTTATATATTTAGTTTTAAAAAAAATTGAAAAAAAAAAAAAAAAAAAAAAAAAACCCCTTTTAAACCCCCCTAATTAAAAAAAATAAAAAAAAAAGAAAAAAGATTACATCTTCCCCTTTCATTAAAATTAATAATCAAAACACGAGACATATCTCCCTTCATCTCCTTCTCTTCCCTCCCAACTTCTCCGATCCAAACTAAGAGGTAAAATGATTGGATTGAAACGTTCAAGCCTAAGCTTGAAGAGACCCAAAGGACTAATAAACGCATAAACTCAAAACAACCAATCTCCGCCACACCCCCCCACCCCAAAAAAAAAAAAACCAAAAGAAGAAGAAGAAGAAGAAGAAGAAGAAGAAAAATCATAGCATGAATTATACTTCAGATATTTCCATATAAAATTTCATGACAAGCTACTCTTTGTAAGGTTTTGAAAGAGGTCCGAATTGTCACAGCAATCTTACCTGCAACCCTCTTTTAACAAGCTGTTTAACTGCTACCTCAATCTTTTGTGATGGGTCCTCCAAACTCTTAATGGAACCCCTATACACACAACCAAATCCACCCTCTCCAATCATGACTGATCGACTAAAATTCTTGGTGGCTGATTTGAGTTCAGAAATTGTGAACACTCTGAGATTGTTGGTTCTTTGAGTCACGCTGGGAAATGAGGACCTGACCATGGACTCAGCACTGGTGCCAGAGCCATTCCGAGAATTCAGTTCAGATTCAGATCTCCCTATTTCAGTAAAGGTAGAATTAACAGAGAGAGTTGAAACTGATTTGGGAGTCTTCGCCTCTTCTTTCTTGTCCCTATTGTACAATGCAAAACACTTCATAGCCCCCAATAAATTAACACAAATCGAATTACCCAGTTTGCGAATTCAGATTCCAATGAAGAAAGAGCCTCAGTTTGAATTCTGAAGAACCAATCAAAAATTACCAAAGACCTGCAAATTCAAGAGGTGCACATATATGCTAGAATTCATCATACAGGATATATAGCAATGAAAACCCCAAAGTTTCCTAAAAACGTGACTAAATAATTGAAAGAAAGGATATCATATACCCAACAAGATGAAGCAAATTATAAGGATGAACTTCACCCCCTGCAAATTCATCAAATTTGTTCGTAATAAGCTGCAAACTTAGAAGAAGAAAGAGAAAGAAAAGCAAAATGGATCCAATAATTCCCAGCTCAAGGTTCAGCTTGATTGATTTCTCTTTTTCAGATTAGAAATTGCAACTTAACCAGCACGGCCTTTTTAGATCATAATTCACAAGTCAATAAAGTGCACAACCAATACAGCCTCTAGGATCTAACTTTCTTCAAAAATATATTAAAATTTTGATAACCACAATGGAAAAGCAAAACCGGCGACACACTTCCCTTGAGATGAAAAAACTCACCTGCAAGTCCAAACTTCTTTCCTGGGGTGAAGAAACTTGATTCTGAAGCTTGAAACTCTCAATTTTAAGGAATTTGAAGAGAGACTGACTCATGGATCTAATGCCCCACAAAGACCTCAAAAGCAAGGGATAGAGAAAGGACAACATTTCATGTTTCCGTGGACACATGGCAGCTGGATGGAAGTGACAAAATGAACTTCTTCTCCCGAAACACCTATCTCGGTTTGAATGGGTACAGTGAATATTTGAAAAATGAGGACAAGAGAAAGAAAGTTCTAACCTTTATCGGGAGAAAAGTCGTTGCCCCGTAGATGATGCCATGGTGGAGCCAGCTTAGTCAAGATATTCGAAAAAAAATTTGAGGTTGCCTAATCCCAACAACCCATTACATACGCATTTCGTAGAATCCATGTTTAATGCTGACATACATGATGTAGTGCGATTAAGGTTACAGGGTCACGGTACCAAAGTTCACTGTTTAGATTGGTTGCTGAGAAAAATTTTTTTTTTCTTTCCCATGTTTCTTTCCTCAGAAAGTTTTATGGGAAAAAGACGGAAACCATGGAATATTCATTAGCACAGGAGGGATTGTAACGGGCTAATAGTGAAGTTATATTTCATCTGAATTCTGATACATGTTAACCGTTCGATGAAAGTCCTCAATGATCGAGGGGTTGGAAAGTTGCCTTATTTATGGTAAACGTACACGGATTATGCAGTAGTTTCCTTTAATGTAGGCACCCATATCTCCCCGCCATTTCTTTGTTCCAAAAACGGGACCTTTTTCCGAGCCAAAGAAATTCACTCAACCCCATTTGACCAGGAAATATCTTTTGTTTCTCAATCGTCTTTCCACCCTCCACCAGCATTGTTGTTCTTTTGTGTTCTGCAACACAATTCATGATATTCCAATAGCATATTCAGCCATTTCAATTTTATTGTGAAATTGGGATAACCAGGGTTCTAGTGATGATACCGTGGTTAATCCCCATTGCGCTTGTGTAAATTCAGAATTCCAGAATTCAAGTGTAATTCGTTCTTGGATGTTTTGGGTAAGATTTTCAAGGGAATAAAATGGGAGGAGTGAGAACAAATATCTGTTGGATACATCATGCTTTACTTTTTCTCGTCGGTGTTTTAAGTTTGTTGCCATTGGCACGGTGTGTTGATGTCTCCCTTCCTCTTGTAACTAAGCAAGTTTACAGCCGGCTATCAGACCTCGCTGCAATATTAAGTAGTGATATCAAAACCAATCTTGGCTTCTGCATAAAGGATGTGTATGTAACTCACAATTTTCTGTAGTTTTGCCTCTTTACCATCCGTGCCCTCTCTGTGATGAGAAAATTGTGTTTAAGTGTCATTATTAATTTATACTATGACTCTGAATTTCGTTGTCTTTCAGGGATGCTGATTGGAATGGAGCATTTAATTTCTCAAATAACTTGGATTTTTTGAGTAATTGTGTCCAGAAAACGAAAGGTATGAATTTCAGCGAATTCAACAATGCATTACATTCCTTTCAGGTATTGATGTTCAGTTTGACAATGACAATCATGAATTTTTTTTTTAATATATATTTATTTACAATTTCATTTTTATCCTCCCTACATGATTGATTGAAAAATCAAGCAATGTAGCAAGCTTCAAATAGAACATGGCACAACGGCCATAAAGTTCATAGACTAAGCCTTTACAGTTATAGCGGTTTTCCTTTTGAGTTGTTTCCATGCTTAGGAATTGTAAACAATGCATACATATTTCTTACCAAGGTGCATTTATTTTTTGGATAACATGGGTGTCTACCTGGGCTTTTAGCCCGACTAATCCAACTGATACCTTGTTTCTTACCATGTCCCTTACATTGATTCAATCTAATTGCCAGGTGATCTCACTATGCGACTATGTACAGCAGCAGAAATAAAATTCTACTTCAGTAGTCTTTCTGAAAATGGAGCAAAACGTACCCATTACTTAAAACCTAACAAGAACTGCAATTTGACATCATGGGTTTCTGGATGTGAACCTGGATGGGGTTGCAGTGCCAACCAGCATGTTGAACTAAAAAATTTGGCAAATATCCCTAGTAGGACTCAAGATTGTCAGCCTTGTTGTGAAGGATTCTTTTGCCCTAAGGGTCTAACTTGCATGATTCGTGAGTATTTGATCATAATCCACTTATTCTCATTAAGATTGGCATATGTTATTGATATGGAATTCACATAATTGATGCTTCTTTATCCTACTGTCTGGATAGACTGATTTCTCATTTAACTGTTAGTATACTCTTTGGTACATAAATTGTTGATATCTACTGATACTAGAGGCTGCAAAATACAGAATGGACCATGCTCTATTCATTTTTTTTTTCTAAAGAAAGAAGCTCAAGCACGTTATTTCACATAACTAGTGGTTTAATAAGTGCAAAAATTTTTTTAACCATGGAGGGTTAATGACCTAAAAGTCTGCACATAAGACTGTTTATTTTGAACTTGCAATGTGGGCAAGGGAACAATGGAAAAAGAACATGGGAGGGATAGGTATGATGATCCATGATTAGTGAGGCCATTTCTCAAAACTTTAGAGTTTTGAAATTTATTTAAGAAATGCAGCAATATTTAGTGGAATAATTGCTTATTGTTCATTCTTATGAACCATCTGTTTGCCAATGACCTAGTGTCAGTGTTTACCAATTGGTGCATGTTGAACGAAAGGCCAGTCAAATTTTGCATGAGCCTTACATAATGGCTTAACTAATTTCTACCATCTTGCAATGGTTTAATGTCATGTTAAGCTTCAAATCATTTTTGAAGATGTATACTAAAAGATCTTGATTAGGTTGCAGTTTCATATAAAATAAAAGCTGATAAAACACTATTGATGGAAATGAAACTGAATGTTATCTCATCTCCTGTTTTTCATGTTCATGTGAATGAAGCCTGCCCGCTAGGTGCTTACTGTCCACTTGCGAAGTTCAATAAAACGACTGGACTTTGTGACCCGTAAGTATATTATACTTCAATGTTCTCTCAACCTTATGTCTGACATTTCTTATGGTGTATGTTATGGATTCATATTCATTGGTAGAGAAAAAATTGCAGATACAATTACCAGATCCCTCCTGGGAAACCAAACCATACTTGTGGTAGTGCAGATGTTTGGGCTGACGTTGGGAGTAGTAATAACATTTTCTGTTCGCCAGGGTCGTTCTGCCCCAACACCATATATAAAGCTCCTTGCACCAGCAGGTTTTGATTTCTATTATTCATATAATTTTTCCCATTTCTAATCTGTTACAAAATAGGCTATAGAATCTTTAGTTTTATGAGCATCAAATCTAATTTATTCTCGTACATGATTTGATGATAAAGTACAGGGCATTCACTCTCATCATTGGTGTTTACTAACCTTTTGATGCTATTTCAGGCATTACTGTAGACAGGGTTCCACTAATCAACTGCGTAAGTTTCCAATTAGATCTTTTGACTTTGGTGTGCTCAATTTGAATCTCAATTATTTGCATTTCTCACAAAGCTCGAATTCTTCATTTGGTGATCTCTTGCTATAGAAGTCTTTAGAGTTATTTGGGAGTTGATTTTAGAAAACAGAAAGGATACATATTTTATTTAATTCATAAAATGGGAGTTAGATGGACTGGCTTAACCGTATTTCAGTCTCATTTTTCCAACCACTACATTCGAACGTAGATATGATCTTTATCAATACAAATCTCCTTGCTGAGTGCCGTCCATGCGACCTCTGTCTGCAAATATCAAGGCATCAGAGTATAAGATCTTATTGAGTGGAACTGGGCTTGAAAATGGTTTGGTTTTTTATTAGCTAAATTTTATATCATTATCCGCATATCAGTTTTCTGTTGACCATCTTTCAAGCCTTAAGGGTTTTCTATTTATTTCCGCAATGCTGCCTATGTCAGAGAAGCTTGCTCAATCTTTTCAGTTTGAGAAGGAGTGATATATTTTCTCCTTTTTGGTAAATGAAGGTGTGATATTTGTTTATGGGATTTTTTTTACTATTTTTACAGGATGCTTCCAGTTAGCTACCTGCAATGCAAATGCTGCAAACCAAAATATTCGTGCTTATGGAGTCATGCTTTTTGTAAGTGGCTGCCTTCAAATCCTTGATCCAAGATAAAAGTGATCTTAGTCATGTCATTTATTTTAAAGCAGTTTGAGATATTGTCTTGAACATGTAATATTAGCTTTTACATTTGAAAGGCTTATGTGGCAATAAATGATTTCCCCTTCTCTCCGCATACATTCTTTTTGAGAGATCATTTTGTTTGAATGGCTAATCAAAATTTAATTGATTAAAAGCATTTTTTAATGTCCTGACCATGAATAAGCAGGAAGAAGGGGAAGGAGTGAGCAAAGAAACTTCATGACATCTTGCTTTGTAATTCCCATAGCGTTATTTTTTTTTCTTTTTGGTTCATAGTCTCCTTTGTATTAAGTCAACCATTTAAGCTGCTGCATATGCAGGGAAGTCAATCAATTCTTCTTGCTGACCATTTCTTCTCTTGTTTCAGTATGTTGACTTTGATACTTTGTATTTATTGGCAATGTAGATTGCACTGAGCCTTCTTCTGTTCATCCTTTATAACTTCTCCGATCAAGTTCTTAGTACTCGGGAAAGAAAAATGAGTAAATCAAGAGAACAGGCTGCAAAATATGCACATGAAACTGCACAAGCACGTGAAAGGTGGAAAGCTGCAAAGGATGTTGCCAAGAAGGGGACAGCAGGTTTGTCGAAACAGTTATCACGAACATTTTCTCGAGCAAAATCTACAAGGCGACCAGAGCAGACAAAAGTTGGCCCAGATGATGCTTCATTGCCAACTATGGATCCAGGTCATCCAAATGCAACAGAGAAGCCATCTGCAGCGTCAAATGCAAAGAAAAAGGAACCAAGCAACCTCACAAAGATGTTGCATTCTATTGAGGATGATCCAGATCATGGCTTTCATCTGAATATAGGAGACAAAAATACTAAAAAGCAAATGAATAACTCTAAGGCTAAAAATCTGCATAGTAAGAGTCAAATTTTTAAGTATGCTTATGGACAGATTGAGAAGGAGAAAGCTATGCAGCAGCAGAACAAGAACTTGACGTTCTCAGGAGTAATTTCAATGGCTAGTGATAATGACATACGGACCAGGCCTGTCATTGAGATTGCTTTTAAGGATCTAACTCTCACTTTGAAGGGGAAACACAAACATCTGCTGAGGTGTGTTACTGGGAAAATGATGCCGGGTCGAGTTACTGCTGTCATGGGCCCATCCGGAGCAGGGAAAACAACATTTCTTTCTGCATTGACAGGAAAAGCAACTGGATGTACTAGGACAGGTTCAATTCTTATAAATGGGAAAAATGAGTCCATCCATTCATTTAAGAAAATTGTTGGATTTGTCCCACAAGATGATATAGTGCATGGAAACTTGACCGTTGAGGAGAATCTCCGATTCAGTGCAAGATGCAGGTAAATAATAGCTCACTCTCACAGGATTTTAATGCATTTTTTGTCACTCATTATTTCACCTTGCCCAGGAGCTCATTAACAACTCTTCCTTGCTAATGATTGATGGTTATTAATTTGTTAATAACCTTCATATTCCTTCTCACTATGATTTTGTAAATGGCTTCTTCCTCTCCGCTGTTCTGCTTTTGCCATTGATAGACACTATATTTCTTTTTGGTCAGCAGTAGACTTTATATAGGCATCCATATTTACATTTATTTTGATACTTCATCTCTTACTAGATTTGTTCTGACTCTTATTTATTTTGGCCTGAAGACTCTCTGCTGACATGCCAAAAGCTGATAAAGTTTTGGTCCTTGAAAGAGTTATTGAGTCCTTGGGACTACAAGCAATAAGGGATTCACTTGTAGGGTCAGTGGAAAAGCGAGGAATCTCTGGAGGCCAGAGGAAGCGTGTAAATGTTGGTTTAGAGATGGTGATGGAACCTTCACTACTGATCTTGGATGAGCCTACTTCTGGTTTAGATAGTGCATCATCAAGCTTGCTTCTTAGAGCACTTCGACGTGAAGCTCTTGAAGGAGTAAATATCGTAATGGTGGTTCACCAACCAAGGTATGCCTCCCTCTATTTCTCACATACACGCACCAAATAGCCAACAGCTTTCAATAATGGCCTCATTCCATGAAGGAAGAAATGAGCCATCTTCTTTCCCGTGTCTTTTACCATCTTTGACACTCAGGCTATTTTTTATGGTTGGAGGTGAGTGCAATTTAGCAAACTTAATGTTTTAAGGATCCACTGGATAAAACATTCTTTTGTGCTCTTTCCCCATGGAGATTGGTATATGGGCGGTGGAATGAGAGTAACAGAGTGTTAGTTTACTCTCTTGAAAATGGTTAGGTTGCTTTGGAGCTTTATTTTGTTCATGTCATGCTTGTGCATAATTATCCACATTACACTTAAAATTGCCAGCAAAATTTAGCAGTAAAGTGGAGTAAATACATTAATTTCTTTCTTTCTTTTTTTTCTTTTTCTTTTTCTTTTTCTTTTTTTTTTGATATGCAAGCGTAATCGAGCTCCCTGTAAAATTGTTAACAAAATATACATGTCGGCATGTGTTTACAAGCTTTCTGTTTCCATTAAGTAATTGAATGATGTGATGACAAAACTTTTTCAATTTTATGGCTAACTTTTTCAGAGGTAATAGTTTGTGTCTTCTGATCCAGCTATGCCTTGTTCAAGATGTTTGATGATTTAATACTTCTAGCCAAAGGCGGTCTCATTGTGTATCATGGACCTGTGAAGAAAGTCGAAGAATACTTTTCTGGAATAGGGATCCCTGTACCTGATCGAGTTAATCCTCCAGACCACTACATAGACATTCTGGAGGGTATTGAGAAACCAAGCTCAGGTGTGACCCGTGAACAGCTTCCCATAAGATGGATGCTGCATAATGGCTACCCAATACCCCCAGATATGCTGCACGAGGCTGATGGACTAG